CAGGAGACGCTCCCCAGCTCCGAAACGGACCGTCAGGAGACGCTCCCCAGCTCCCAAATTGACCGTCAGGAGACGCTCCAGAGCTCCAAAATTGACCGTCAGGAGACGCTCCAGCTCCCAAATTGACCGTCAGGAGACGCTCCAGGTCCCAAACTGACCGTCAGGAGACGCTCCAGCTCCAAAATTGACCGTCAGGAGACGCTCAGGCTCACAAATTTATCAAAATTCAGTTACTGTTTATCAACTTTTTATCAACTTTTATCAACTTTTTATCAACTTTTATCAACTGTTTATCAACTCTTTATCAATGTTTATCAACTTTTTTATCAACTTTATCAACTTTTATCAACTTTTTATCAACTTTTAAATTGCTTTTTTGCTTTCAAAACATTAGCCTTTATATTGACTTGGGGTCAAGGTTAGTTCCAGCCTACAATGTTTGTTTGCAACTTTGCATAGTTTAATTTTGTTTCATGCATTCAAGGGTTCAGTCAATTCCAAGATGTCCAAGCCCAATCATATTGCACACACCATTGGCCTAGGTGATGCTAATTCCTCCTGCAAACCTTGGTGCAAGTATCGACCGCAAGAAGGCAAGGCTCATGGTCACTTTTTGACAACCCATTGATGTTTTCTTATGGCTCTTGGCTTGGGTCAAGGAGCCAAGGCGTGAGAGAAACAAAAGGTACAGGGAAGGTGTGGGCCTCAAATGTGCGGCATGACTGGTTTGGAGCTACAGTGCCAGCTTATTGCATGGTCTCAGGAAAAAACAACAGGCAAAGGAGAAGAAGCTGGCCAAAGGAGCTTGGTTTCTTTACTCAGTGAAAGCAACGGTGTCAATTCAATAACTAATTGTGCAACAAGAGTGCCCACCCCCTCACAGCCCTGGCCAGGAGATACAACTCCAGCTCACAAGAACAGTGGACACAAATCAGGCAGGTTGCCACCAATTGACCCTTTGCAATTTGAAATGTTTTCAGCTGGCAGGTCACCACATTGACAGGATCAACTTTATCAGTAGCCAGATGCTCAAAGGGATGTCAATGTGTGCAGCTAACAAAGCTTGGTCAACTGCACCTTCAGTCCTGGCCCGCAAACGTGAAAGAGAAGCCAAGAAGGAGGAGAAACAGGCAAAGAAGCAAGAGAGACCAGAAAAAAAGAAGAAACATGCCAAGGGCCAAACCACTGGCCATGCAACGCTTGAAGCAAAGGGTGACAAGAACCAGGAGGCAGCTCTGGCTTCTGACCATGAGGGGATGATCGCTTTTGAGAAGCCTGCTGCGCATGAAAATCTGCAAGTAATTATCTGATTTTTAGGACCACTTCTAGGTGTTCAGGAGTTCAGGAGTTCCTGCCTGCGAACCACTTTCACTAGCACTTTTAGCTTGCTTGGAAAAGAAAAGGTGCCCAAGCGATGCCACATGCACATGAAACATAAATGAAAAAATAGTTCAGTGAGAGCAGTCAGCTGTCATCACCCTCACAGTGTGGACTCCCTCAAGGCACAGCTACGAGCTTGATCCAAGCCAGTTTGCCATGGCTTCGTGGGAAGAGTTTGAAGCAAGTCTAGACTCCCAGTTAGAGCAGAACTTGAGTCCAGGGACACCAATCATTGGTGCAGTCCACATGCGCCGATGGCAGCTGGCCACACTTTACCCAGAGTTTGCATCCAAGCTCAACAAGCCTGAGCAGGCCTGTTTGTACTGAACTTGGAGGCATTAGAAGCAAAGTTGCGCTTCATTCTCCAGGACCTCTTTGTCCAGGAGAAGTGTCAGACAAGATCAGCCACATCGAGCTCGAAAAAGGCACCAGAAAGACACTTTGAAAACACACAATTTACATTATTGTTTGTGAATTTGCATTGCATGGGCCAGGGAAAATCGAGGTCCAGGAGCAGAAGTCGTGGTCAGTGATGCCTTACCTTGTATGTCATGATGATAATTGGTAATTCAAATGCCTCTTGCTTTGAGCCAGGGCAGACTAATTCAGTTCAGGCGTTCAGGTGTTCAGGAGTTGGAGGTTCCACTGACAAATGTGCACCAGCCTCAGAATTGAAAATATGCCACCTGCTGCCAAGCCAGTTTGAGCACCTTTAGGTTCCTGCAATGCATTGCCTCAGTTTGAGCACCTTTCGAGCTGCAGGGTCTTAGTGGTTCAGGACTTCAGGTGTTCAGTAGTTGAAGTTGAAGGCTGAGAAGCCCCAGCCTCAGCATGCCGCTGACACCATCACAAAAGCAATGCCTTTTGCTGTCACTAAAGCTTGCCTTTTTTGGTGCTACTCTGGCATCTGTGGTGGAAGATCCTGCACTTTCCTGTGGCCAGAGAGATTTGGATGTTGTGGAGATTTTTTCAGAAGCAAAATCTATTGTCCACGCTGCCAGAGAGAAGGGGTTTTGTGCAGAAGCATATGACTTGACTCATGGCCAGGATAGCGTTTGTGCAAGGAGTGGATTCTGGTCAGTTGTAAGATTGGTGATGCGATTGAAGCCTGGTGGCCTGGCGCACATGGCGCCAGAATGCAAAACATTTGGCTTTGCATGTAGGAACCAGAACCAAAGGACCACGAAAAATCCAGAGGGCAATGTTGCTTGGGAAGCTGTGTGTGATGGCAACTTGGCATGCATGTTTTGGCTTCATAGTCCTCACTGTCAGAGTTTGCAAGGGTCAGTGGCATGCACCATCTGCCAGCTGCACCAACTTAGGCAATTTCATGGCCAGGCTTTCAGTCTTTCTGTTCTGCCTGGCACTGCTTCGTGACGCCGAAGCTTCTATAGAGAATCCAGCTGGATCTATGATCTTCACCTTCCTAGATGAGCACATCAGCCAGGGGCTCAGCCAACCAAGACTGATGACAATCACTTCTCTTATTATTCAATTTGCAAAATCCTGACACACCAACCTTGGTCAGGAATTTTGACGAGCCTATCTGTTGTGCATTACCACTTGCTTGACCGGTGCGCTTATGACAACACTCCTGGCCAAAAGATGCTCAAGAAGTACAAATTCATGTGTTCTGGTGGGTGGCTGGAGGCATCTGTCCGAAAATGCTCATGCAGCAGGCAGCATGAGCCTTTGATGCTGAAAAGAATGACTGATGATGGAAAGCTGAAAACTGATGGGAGACAGAACCTTTTACAGCAGTCTGGCCTTTATCCACCTGCTCTTGGCCAGGCAATTGTGGCAGCATGGATGCAAATGTCAACTTGGAAGCCGCAAGTCCCCATCAAAAAGCAGCATGCAGTGGAAGATGATCCTTGGGGAGGCCCTGCCAGCACAACCTCTAAAAAGAAGCTGAAGCAAAGCCAGAAGACAGAGGAGGTGGACCCATGGTCATCCGGTGACCCTTGGGAGTGCGAGGTTGCCACAGCTCCTGCACAAGTTTTTGATCCTTGGGCTGCTAATGACACTGTCACCGAAGCTGACCCATGGGCTTGATCAGGTGTTCAGGAGTTCAGGAGTTCTAGCAGCTCTTGCCCTTGATAGTGTACAAGTGTCTTGCGAGAGAAGCATAAAGACTTCAAGACTGTGAACATTGTGGGGCAAAGCATGGAATGCAGTTTGAAGCCTTGTCCATGTGCAACACATGTTAGTCATGACTGCCTGGCTCAAGTGTTGAGAAAGTATTTTGGCAGATTTTTGCACTTTCCATGGCTCCAAAGAGGAGCCGAAAGAGAAAAGCAGAAGTGCCTGAGCCAGACCCGTGGAATGATTCCTGGAATGGGGAGGAAGAGGACCCCTGGGCTCATGAGACTCACCAGAACCAGAGTGAAGATCCATGGCGGTTTGTTGCTGAGGATGACGTTCCAGCTGATGGTGACAGCATGTTGGTGGAGAATCCATGGGCTAGCAATCCAGGGAGCAAGCTCACCACCCATAACTCTCAGATCCATTTGGATGCTGCTCTTAGGCTTGCTTCGGATTTGGCACCAATTGCAAAAGAGGCCAGCCAGTATGACACAAATGGAGCATGCCCAAAGCGACTAGGTTGTGTTCTCTCATCTAACTGCAAGCGGAAGCACTGTGCACGCCCAGGATGCAAAGCAGGTGTAATTTCACATCAAGAAGTTTGCAGTTTCATGGAGAAGTGGGTCAAGCTGCCACTTCCTGACAGAAGCCATCTCCTGCGTTGCAACTACTACCAAGACAATAGCGTGATTGCCAGAGATGCTGAAGCAGTGAAGGAGACAGTGGAGTGGCACATGTGTGGCTATGCAATTTGCTTTCAGAGGTTTTGTGAGATTCTTGGAAGTAGTCAAAGAACAGTCCGCAGGCTGATCAGTGGGCAGCCAGATTTGAGATTGTCTAAGTCGGGCTTTGGTAGCCAATCCCGGGCGGCAGTGCAGACTGCCAAATGTGACCATTTTTTCCGGACACTCCATGCGTCAGCTGCTGAGCCAATGCCAGAGGAGGCCCAAATGTACCCCAAGGCAAAACAACTGGGCAGTCATTCAGGAGTTCAGGTGTCCAGGAGTTCAGGGGTTCAGAAGAGAGACATGACCAGCATTGATGCATGGGAGCATTGGAGCTATGACTGGCTCAGCATGCCTCCAGCAGATGTTCAAGCAGCAGAGAAGGCTCACTGTGGCACCTTGGGCTTGCCTATAAGATACATTCAACATCAAAGGTTGATTGATCTATACTGGCAGTTTACAGCTGAATGGGACATTCATGTTGAGAGAAATCCAGGAGATGGTGAGTGCCCTGCTTTCCAGACATTTGCGAAGCGCTATTACAGCCACTGGCGCTATGTGCTGGTCATGAGAAAGATTTCTCAGCATGGTCAATGCAAAACCTGCTTTGACTTTCATTCTGTGCTCAGGAGCCCAAAAGCTGATTGGAGCACCAAGGTGCCTAGGCCAAATCAGCTGGTAAATATTTTGTCGGTTTTATTTATTCACTTATTGTTAATGTTGATGTGGCAAATAAATCATTTCTGGGCCACTCCAGCCAAGATTCGAGCTGCCCGCAGTCTTCGAGAGCATCAACGACACCAGTACTTAGACCGTACACTTTATTGGGGTTTACGATTCTCTTCAGTGCACGACCAGGAAGTGCTGACTGTGATTATTGATGGCATGGGTAAGTGGGGGACAGCATGGCCCCATTTAGGCCAAGACAAGCCTTCCAAAGAGCTTGACAACATTGTCCGCCCAAAGCTTGTGATCACAGCTGCACTATGCCACGGATGGGGGACCTTCTTGTTCGGCACATCAGAGCTCGAAAACCATGGAGCTGAGCCTTGCTAGGTAAAAGAGCAATCTGGTGTCTATCAATTTTTCTTATTTGGTTTCCAAGAAAAGCTTGAAGCAGCCCAAAGCTGAGGATCACTGGTGTGAGGTGGTTTGCCGTGTCCTGGACATGGTGTGGAAGATAGCTGAGAGGGATGGCCGGAGAGTGCCACCTCATTTAGTTCTTGTGGCTGACAACACCCCAGCACAGTGTCACAACCAGCTGGCCATGAGACCTTTGATTTACCTCACTGCCAAAGAGTACTTCACCTCCATCACTATGTTCCACCTTATGGTGGGACATACACATGAGGCCACTGCTCAAATCCATACATTGGCCACAGCTTCTCTCAGCCTTTTGCATCCTGCCAGGATGTTGACCAGTTGTTTGGTGTGATCAAGGACTGACTGGGTTTGTATGCTGCACTGATTTGGCAACTCACAATTTAACTTCATAGCCACAGCCGAATTGCTCTGGTTTGCTTGCAAAAGCTGTTGCAGGCTATACTGATTGGCCTTCGCAAGTGGCAGACTCCAGATGCCATGCTTGATCACATCAAGGCAAAACTGGAACCAAGGGTCGCTGCCCGGAAGGAGGTGCTGATGACAAACATGATTCAAGGAGTTCATGACTTCAGTGCTTGGTTGGACCCACTGGGAGTTGATTTGCCCTTAGTTGGCTGTGAAGCTGCTTCCTTTGTGGCGCAACATGGTTTGAATTTTGTGTGGCGCTAAGGATATTTGGAACTGCTTCAAGCCTCGTGCTGGCATTCCCACCCCTCATTGCTTCATGTGCATGAAGGGCAAGAATCTGCCAAGAAAGTATGCAGTGATGCTTGAGGAGCCAAAAGAGGATGAGGCAGTCTACTGTTGCGTCAAAGGCTTTGTCCGTGACACTTGCTTGTTGCAGCCGCCTGTTTACCTTTCACCACCTGGACGACATACTGCCATTCGAGAAAGCCAGCCTGGCCAGCTCATTGGCAAGAAAGAAATGTCTGAGAGTGAGATCCAGAGCTACATCAAATTAGCTCAGTTGTGCAAAACCAAGTTTGACATGCCAGAAGCTGCGGATGCGCTTCACAAATTTGTGCATGAGAGACACTATGAGAGTGTTCAGTTTCAGTTTCTTGCCCACCCACATAGGGCAAGATATGGTGTAGTTAGGGAACAGCCAGCTGGCACCAACATTCATTTCCCTTTTTTGCCAGACACAACCTGGCATATGTGTGCAAGGGTAGCTTAGCCCAGGAGTTCAGGTGTTCAGCATTTCAGGGGTTCAGCACTAGAAGGGAGTGCTGATGGGAGACTTACTGAGCCACGAACTGCAGCAAAGAATCGAGACTTGCGTACAAGCTGTGAAACGTTTGAGCCTACAATGATTTTTTTTGTGCAACATAGGTTGCTTAAGCTAGGGGTCTCCTATTATTAGGTAAAAAACAGTTCAAAATAAAAAACAGTAAATATGTTTTAGAGGAGACCCCTCCCTAGATTTGCAGGGTTGCAATTGAGCAATGCTGTTGAGAAACAATCAAGCAGCAACAGAGCATGTCCTTCCAAGCCTTGGCTCCAGGAGTTTGTAGGAGTTCAGGTGTTCAGTGCAGAGCCTTGTGGAATGGCTCTTTCCACTGAGGCACATTTATGTTTTTGAATTTGCTGGCTTATGTGTTTCTTGTTGCTTGCCACGCCCAATCATGCCAAAGCCAGGAGAAGTTGAATCAGTGGTATGGCAAGATCTTTGCACAGCTGCAAGCTGACATGAGTGACAGCAGTCTTGCTTCAGTGCATGAGTGGATGGAGAGAACTTTTCCAAACACAACTGCCAAGAACCAACTGATGACAGATTTTTCCAATCTGGAGTCAGAATGCCGAAAGATTTTGGCAGCCCCAGACAATGGAACAATCACTTCTGATGTTCCAGAAGTTCTGGTCCACAATGATGTGCCAGTCCGCTTCAAAATCAGGTTGCACAACTTTGGCTTCTTGGAGGACTCACAGCTGAAGGGGCCAGTTCAGTCTTATGCTGTGAGCCTTGGGTTGCATGCATGTTTGGCCAAGCATGGGCATGTCAATATCCATGTTGCTAGCTTGTTCAGCAAGATTCCAGGATTGGTTCAGCTTAGGAGGGACAACATCCAGAAGTTCATGACCAATCAGAAGGGCAACCAAACCAACAAATACCCCCTGGAGATCCTCTTTGACTATGTTTGCAAGCTCAACCAGCATCCAGTGAAGCCAGGTTCAGTGATTCCGGCGTTCAGCATCGCCATGTTCATTGGCAGCTCGACCATCATGTCATCATTCTTGCTGTGCATCTATGCTTGCAAGCTCAAGATTATTGACGCAGTGAAGGGCGACCTAAAGCTCGAGCGCGAGGTGGCTACAAGGTTGCTGAGTTGCTTGGTGATTCACTGCACAGCTGTTACTGCCACCAATCATGATCAGGCAATGCTGAATGCATTTGCCCAGAAGCGGGAGGCTTTGACGCGCGTCCAACCTTCTTTGTTCCAGCACTACAGTGTCTACCAAAGAATTCTGGCCAAGAGACCACCAGCCAGAGGGCCTTGGTCTCAGCTGTTTATAACAAGTTTTGGCTGCTTTCAGGAGTCCAGGAGTTGAGGAGTCCAGGAGTTTCAGTTGTTCTTCACTTGTGTGCCTGAGGACTCGAGATGCGCATCTCCGCAGCATCATGGTGGAGCAGAACAAGTTGAGTGTCACTAAAGCCAAGATCCACAGCAATGAGATGACAGCGATCCTTTTGCTAGATTCAGCTGGTCCAGGTTTTCAGAAGATCATTGCCAAGGCTCACATGGCTGACCAGCCGCAGGACACTGCCTTTCCCCTCTCGCTCTTGAACAAAGACTTCCTGCAGCCGACTTTCCCCAATCCAGTGAGACTTGGCTTCACAAGAATGCATTGGCCTGGATCTTTTTGATGGATTCAGATCTTGTTTGTTCCTGATGTTGCAACTTCCAAGGAAGAAGGAGGATAACCCCCTGTGGCATGCCATCCATGAGCACAGCTGGGACAAAGTCACTACTTGGGCTCAGCGTGTTTCAGGAAAATGGGATCACCGCATGCAGCAAGCCCTGAAAGCTGGCCAGGCGTTGAGCTACAAGAATGGTGCAGTGGCCGCCGACATGCGTGACAGCGGCAAAGAGTTGAATGTGTGGTACATGGCACAAGCCATGTGTTACTTTGATGACCATTTCCAAAAAGCTCTGAAGCCAGACAGATTTGACCAAGTCAAATCAGATTGGCTGGCTGGCAAGCTGGACACACAGATTTTGCCAGCAGTCCTCGCCAAGAGAAAGGACTTCCAACCGCGCGACTTCCAGTTCGTCTTGCTGGAGCAACAGGATGCCTTGTCTGGACTGAACTTCTTGAGTTTAGGCAGTTCAGAGAAGCAGGAATCCCTCCAACGCTTGCACAAGCAACTGGGGCAAGAACAGAAAGCCTGGCGAGCCCACATGGCAAAGGTCAAGGCGCATGAGGACAGCTCCATGGGTTCCTTCAACCGCCAAGTATCTCGACAACAGGAGGCCTTGGAGGAGGCATGGCAGGAGCAGAGCACAAAGTTCATTCAGGTGTTCAGCTGTGCAGATGTTGCTGGTGCAATACTCCTGGTCAATCAAGCAAAGGCCATGATTGCTGACGAGCAGCTGAAGGATGCAAGTGGCATCCCATGTATTTTTGAATGGAACTTTCCAAAGGCTGGAGCAAGAGCCAGCAAACTGATCCCAGCAGTGGCAAGCACCATTGCAGTGTCATGCAGTGAGAATCCAAAGACAGTCATCCATGTTGTCATTCCACCCTGCCAGCCAGTGTATGGCAAGGGAGACTCTGCTGGAGATGAACGAATTGCCAGCATCGAGGACCACGTGAACAATTTGTGGCAGCAGCTCAACGATCCATCCCACCGTCTTTCTGTGCGCAAAGTCAATGCACTGTGGAACTCAGAGACCTTTTACTCCTCCGACAGAGAGTTGGGTTTTGAGGTATGGCTTGTCCTTGCAGAGTCGACCAGGGATGTGAGCAAAAGCACCCGCTCCTACAACAATGTCTTTGGCAACAGCAGCCTTCTCAAGAGAGGTGCCTTCCCCTTCCTCCTCAATGCGATGGAAAGGAAAGATTTTCAGAACTGGAAAGCCCCACTGGGGTTTGACCAGGGCAAAGTGGCCCATGGACAGGACACAGCACAGTGGTTTTCAGGAGTTCAGGGGTTCTGTAGTTCAATCACTGAGCTGTGCATGGGGTCCATTCTCCAGAAGGATGATTTCCTGCTGGTGGCCGACATGCTGATGTATGACTCCGAGCCTGGCAAAGGGTGTGTGGAGCTGAACTGCGGGAGCAACAAAGAAGTCCCTCGCCTAGCCTTTGTTGGTGTGTCTTGTGCACATGAGAAGGGTGTGATCAGGACTGGAAGTTCAGGTTTTAATTTGATATTATTTTTGTTTGAAGGAAATATGCGCAATAATAACAGCATTGAAGTCGACTCACATTGCATTTCTTATGTTTTGAGCTGGCAGGAATG